ATAGAGAGACCGGGATGGTTTTTAATGTGAAGACAACAACAACAACTCTTAAAAAGACAACAGCAACAGACCCTCCGAACCCGGAACCCTTTTCGCGAACCTTTCTTTTGGGTTTGGTTTCGCCCACAGCCGAAACGGCACGCCGTGTTGCGAGCAAACTCGGTAATATGTAGTTCTCCGCTCTACCACATCACCACATCCCACATCCCACTCACTCCACATGCTCCCGCACACCGCCCTTCCTATCGTTGAACAACCGCCGCAGCTGGTGGCCCCTTCTCCCATATTGCTGGCGATCCTTCATCTGGCCGCCATCTAGACGCGGAAAAGCTTGGGAATATCAACGGTGAGCCAAGAAACGTGTTGTACGCAGAAGGAGCATACCTGCTCGCGCATGCAAGGCAGCACTCAATACTGCTGGCGTGCTTGCGAGAAAACAGCCAAAGCTTAGAACTGAAGCTGTAGCTAACTGTACTTCGACAATGAGCTGCTGCCGTGCAACGACTTCACCCGTCTGGGGTCTCATTCTTATATTTTACCACTCGTGAGAAGGTGTGCTTCTTTGTGGGAGTTGTGAAGCATTATTGACGCACACGCTGCTGCTGAAGAGCCCAGGATCTGCGTACTTGTACAAGTACTGCGTGCTGCACCGTGTTACACAAAACGAACAGGCAGGTGGCTGATATGTGAAGAGTTGATTAGTTGTGTATATTACCTTCCTGTCGCGATACACGCCTCTACTTGGTGTGTTCAGGTATTGCCTTTATTTATTGAATTGCCGCACTAACTTGTATCTGTCGTTGATTCTACTACTGTGAAACCCCGGGGATGGATTTGTCCTGTCCCCGGGTTCTCGTTATGCATACGATACCCCGGGGGTAGTAGTGTCCTGTCCCCGGGTTCATGTTTTTAAAACGAGACTCGCGTGTCTCGTTTACCGCTTCCCATCTTCTACAGAAGTAAAAGCATTGTCTTGCGGAATGTCTATCGTTATTTACAGTAAGTAGCCTGTGACCACAGGAATCGACCGCGTCAAGTGTTAGACTAGTACGGACAAATGAAGTTACTGGGCAGAGAGATCGGAACGGTTTTTAATGTGAAGACAACAACAACAAGAACAACAACAGCAACAACTCATTCGGCTCGCTCGTTGTTTGTGTTTGTCCTACGGCAACATTGCAATATCGAAAGTTCACGACTGAAGACGAGTGCTGTCGTGTTCGACACCTTCGCAACAAAAGGCCCATCCTGGAACAAGTGTGCTCCCGACTAGACCATGTGCCTTACTACTCCCGTCGAGGAGTTGAAACTTGGATACTTTGTTTGGCCCCTTTAATAATAGCCTTCCGCTTGGTGCACAACACGTTGGAAAGAGCTGTCACGATACGCTCCAAACCCAAACGAACCAGACGAAACCACAAGAGGCGCCAAAAGACCGAACCAAAACGTCACTTTTGTCCACCCGTCCCTCTTTGTCGTCCCTCCGACAGTGACCTTGTGATTGTTTCCCATGCGCAAACATCATGCACGCACCAGTGCAGAACGGGCGCGAGATAAGAACTGTCACAATCGGGTAGAGGAAGAGTTTCTTGTTTCATCACCACTACTGTCGAGCACACAGGTTGTTGGATAGACTTAAGTTTAAGATCCACCGCTGAGCTGTGTTTCTGTTACGGTTTTGTAGTTACGGGAACATAGGAATCACCTACCTTGGGGGAGTTCGGCATAATCCCTATGGAGTGGCTTAGAGTTCTGTGGGTCTGCAGGGACCCTGTCTAGGGCTTTTGTCACCCGCACGAGCTCCCTTCCTGTTCAAGCAGTCTTGATCTTAGCAACACAGATGATCAAAGCGCAAACCATATCCACAACTAAAGACCTCCTCCCGCATCCACAAGCCACGTTCGAGGCTCGCACTTCCGCCGTTCAAGCGCGTCCACCAAACTCGGTACCGATCATGAGGAGAGGCTGCCGTCGAAGAGGTCTGAGTTATCATTGGATTGGAATCCTTCTGTGGTCTCTCCCTTTGATCGCTCTCTTGGCCATTTCAGGGTCCTGGAAAATGTTCTGAGAACGCCGTCGCTGCACCTCAACTAGTCAAGGGATCCACCCCAAACCATTGCCTCTCCATCCGTCAAATTTCTCAAGCCTGCTTTCCCATTGTGCCTGAAATATTGAGCCTCTGTTTCTTTCCGAAAGCATTCAAGTGCTGGCTCGTTCTGTACAACAACGCCTCCGTCATGTCTGGGTCCTCCTGGGTAGCGCTGCTACAGTCGTCGCAAATCGGCATCGCCGCCCGTCGTTATTTGAGGGATGGCGGAAAAGGCCCCGGAATGGACAAACATGACCAACTTGGCGAGCGCTACCTTCGGCGGTACGGTCGACTTCGCCACGGACGGTGAGAGATTCAACTAATCTACAGCAGTGCCACCCTTGGGAAAGGAGTCACCGCACAAGCCCAAAATATATATTTCGAAACATGATTTCAGCAGCTCCACAGGTCACCGATGCCGAAAGAAGGGATGGTTGCTCGTGTCGGCAGGTATTCCCGCCGTCTTGGTTTGTGGAGAAATCGGGCTTTGAGGCTCGGTCTCAAAAGGTTGTGCCACGCCTCGCGTTTCTACGGTGCCCAACCAATCGATCCATGCATATTTAGTCGTGGTAAGGTATTGGTCTGACCGTCGTACGGTTTCGATGGTCGTCAATTTTGTTGTAGCTGTAATCGAATCAAGCAGCAGACGCGACCGACTATGTGCAACCCAGTCGACGTTGCTGCTGATGCAAGAGACTCGACCCCTGCAATCTTGAGTGGCATGGGTTCACAACGTGCACCGGTAGATGTGTTTCTCCAACAACGCTTGCCTCAAGTACCTTTCTTCAAGCGCGGTGATACATGCGATGGATCGGAGTAGCTCGGAGATGCTACGCACTTGCTGTTGCCGGAGGCAGCGATTTGTCAACGAGTAGGGGTAGTAGCGATAGCAGTTACTTGGGCTTCATATCCTAGAATGCCATGACGATTATGTTCTACACCCGGGTTATCTATTTGCTATTTTCCCACCCCTCACCCAGAGTGGTTCGGAGAAGCCGCGCGGCTGCTTCTGCCCGGCGAACCTATTTTTAACGACGAGTTCACGGAGTTCGGCAAGTGGATGGACGGGTGGGAATCTCGGCGGAAGCGTGTGGCGGGGCACGATTGGTGCATCATCAAGTGAGTGGATTGGGAAGGGAGATGGCATTGCGGCACGGTGCGCTTGTTGTTGTTGTTGTTGTTGCTGGTGGTGTGTTGTCGTTTTCAGCTTTTTCCAGCACCTCTCGTGTTCCGCACTGACCCAATCGGCAACCCTTGACTGCGGTGCCAACAGGTTGATGCACGATACAGCTTCCCCAAAGAAACTCCTCAACCAAACACTTCTGGTGCTCCAGTGAGCTACCCTCTCCCCTCTCCCCACTCCGACTGGATGGTGGTTGCATACCTGACTTGCAACAGGATAAATAGGCGGTGAACCATGGCCGAGATAGCACCGGGGGGGTGGTTTGTTCGTGGGTACGGGTACCCCCAGATGTTTCGTCATTGATGGACAGGACGACAAACATTGCAGCTTTGCCATGCGATGGCCCTTTGTGCCGTACCATGCTTGATTTGTCGCTCTTTCCTTCCTCCAACCAGCATTTACCGGCTCCCTACTTGCATCGCTGGTTGGCGGCGGCTGGTGCTACTGATCTCCTCCTCCCCCCGCGGGTGCTCTGTCCCGGCTTTGTAGGGATGCGAGGTAAATGGTCTAACGACTACGGCATGCATGACTATAAGTACAGCCCCCCCCCCCCCCCCCCCCCCCCCCCCCCCCCCCCCCCCCCCCCCCCCCCCCCCCCCCCCCCCCCCCCCCCCCCCCCCCCCCCCCCCCCCCCCCC